GCCGAGCAGCACACGAGATCGACAGGCCTGCCCGTTCACAGCCACACACCTTCTATTATATATAACTATAACCATTATATATATATTTATATATATGTAACTATAACCATATTATAGTTAATAAATCATTCCTTAGGAATCTTCTTTGCCCAGACTGGAAGTGCATGCTGGCAGGCGTGGGGACGCGAGCGCTGGGGAGAGGCAGCGAGCGCGGGGCCGGGAGCGGCGATGGGGGGATCTGACTGCGCGGGTTATCGCCCTGGGCGCTGCTCCCCGCAGCCAGCTCGGCCCTCCCGGGGGCTCCTCTTTGCCAGGGAGGGGGGACTGCGGCAGGGACACGCCGTAGGCAGGCTGCGGTCCGGGGGAGTGCCGACATCAAAACTTCTGCAATTATCAGCCACCTCCAGAGCTGGAACAAGGCCCCAGGTGAGAGACCGAGCTCCGACACAGAGCTCCAGGGAGCCCCGTGCCCCGAGGCTGGTGCTCTGCTCCTCGACCCCCCGGGGGGCAGAGACAGAGATGGGACTTCATCCCCCCAGGTAGAGCGGGATGTGAACATTCACACAGAGGGACCAGGGCACTGACACCCCGTGTCCAGCCAACACGCCGAGCGGCGCGTCCCTGCGCCCGGCACAGCCCGAGGGCTGCAGCGATCCCGACTCCGGCTCCATCGGCCTCATGCTGGGACCTCGAGTGCTGCTACGGGCACAACAACAAACCAGAAACTGCCCCAAATCAACCTCCTGTGAGTTCCAAGAGCACGTGCCATGCCGCTCTCTGGTGACCTTCGCTTTCCGAAGGGCTGCAAAGAGAAGAACCCAACTCCCAGCAAATCCCTGGTTCTCGAGGGTTTTCATTACCTGCGCAGACCCCCAGAGGGTCCCAAGGGGCAGCACCTTGCAGGGTAACTCCTGGCTGTCACTATCACCCTGCTAAGTGCAGCCAGGAAAGGGGAAAAAAAAAGGGGAGGAGAAAAAGAGAGGGAAAAAAAAAGGGGCAAAATGGGGGGGGAAATGAGCGAAAAAAGAGGGAGTAAAAAGGGGGCAAAAAAGGGGGGAAAAAAAAGGAGGAAAAAAAATGCTTTTTCCTTTTTGTCAACTGTGCAAAGAGGTGAACGTCCAGCACAAAGCCGCGGGCGCAGAGCTCTGAGCGGTACCGGCCATCAGCCGCCCACCACACACCGACCAGCCCGTTCACTGGGGTAACTGGGAGCACGGTGAGCAGGCCTGGCCTCTGTGTGCCAGGGCAGGCTGCTGGCATCCTCACCTGCTTTGGCGTGTAATAAATTCTCTGAATACATAACTAACAAAATATATATCAAGTGTATGGCTCCGACTTAGCTGCTTGCACTGCATGCTCGGCACAGGGAATTAGAAAACAGAAGGAAAACAGCTCGGTTCTTTTACAAAAAGGTAGCAGCAAAAAGGTTTGCGAAAGTCTTAGATAGGCTGGGTAGGAAACAGGCCAAACAGTGAGTATTTCCCTTTTTTGACGCTTTACGACTCCGTTCAAGGCGAGAGCAGATGATCCTGCTGCCAACACCCGGCCCAGGGGCCGCAGGCAGGAAAACTGCAGAGAGGCCAAACTCACCGGGCGAGGCTGGCCCGTGCCAGCGGCACTACGGGAGGGCACACACGGGATCGACACACGGGATCGACACACGGAGCTAAACAATCCTACTGGCCCAGGGCCCCCCAGCCCCCAGCACAGCGCGGTCCCGCTGGAGCTCGGCGTGGCCAGAGAAGTAACGTAACCCCCCCTGGAAGAGCGCAGGCAGCCTCCCTGTGCCCATAGGCAGGTCTTGGGCTGCGTCCAGACAGATTTCAAAGTGTATTTTACCGCTGCCTGGATCTGCCTTTGCCTGTAAAGGTTGGCTTTTGTTTGGTTCTCTTAATGTTCAGTGCTGGAGGGGATCTGACAGCAGTACAACCCGGGCAGGACCGCACTCCTCCTCGCCCTCCTGCACTGACCACAGAACAGAGCCTGAAGTTGTGAAGCAGCTCAGGGTTTGCTTCCTTCCTCCTGCAACATCCAAAGTGGGGAACTAACCTCACTGTGGTGTGGGGAGCCAACAGCAAGAGCCTTGGCTTTGGGCATTTTAAACTGGCCGAGAAACCCCACGCTCACAAGTCTCCGGAGATGCCAGGGCGGCCACGGGCAGACGGATGGACAAGCCCCAGCTCTCCAGAACCAACTTCTTCATTTCCCAAACACCTCTTGGTGCAGAAGCCTCCTGCCCTCCCCCAGGCCGGGCTCTCCTTTGAGAGGACTTAAGCTACTGCTGATTAAATGGCCGTATCCCTGCTCCCGGGGGAACGTGTAGCAGGACCGTGCCCACCTGGGAGCAGTGAGCAGAGCGCCTGGGTGCTCGTAAATGCTAATAAAGTGCACGAACGCAGCGGCGTTGGCCGCTTCCCCCGAGGCTGGCACGGCTGGAGACAGGGACACACTGTGCTGCACGTCACCCGTGTACCAGGGCCCGGGACCAGCCCCTGGAACCCCGCCAGCTCCCCCCAAACCCACCGATCTCCCGCGAGGCTGCTTCAGCCAGGGGATCCCGGCTGGCGGCCCCAAACCCGCGGTGGGTGCCTGGGGTCCCCGAGCCCCCTCGCTGCCTCCCCAGCTGTGCACTCGCGGCCCGGTGCCCTTCCCCGGCGCCCAGGTGGCAGCTCCAGCCCCGGCATCACCCAGGTCCCGGGGCAGGACCTGCCGCGCGGCTGGACCGGTGCGATCGAGCACGTGAGGACAGTAAGTGACGAGAGTGTGGGGGCACAGCCTGGCCAGGGGGGACAGAGCCCGGGGTGTCACTTCCCCGCTGAGGGGACCCTGGGAGGGACACGCACCCCAACTCTGACCACGGGGAATCCAGCCCAGAGCCCTTGGGAGACCAAGGCAGGGGCAGCGCGGGGAGCGGCTCTGCCCCGGGGGGCCGGGGGGGCTGGAGCAGGCAGACGGTGTGCTTCTCTGCTGGGGGCTCTCCTGGGTGATAAGGCAAGGTGCTTGACGTGACGAGAAAAGCAGCCAAGTGCAGAGTGCTGGACGAGGGGTGGTGAGACTCAATCTGCCTTTCCCAGCTTCGCTATCAGCTCGTCGCAGATCTTGGTCAGCTCCTCAATCTCCTGGTTCTGCAAGAAAGTCAAAACTTGAGGGACCCCCATGGCGGAGTGGATGGGGGACAGCACCCAGGGCCACCGAGCCAGCGCAGGAAAGGGCAGCGCCTGCCCCTGCGACTGCTCCTCTGTGCACCACCAGGTGCCATGGGCACCCTCGGGCTCACCCTCCTCGTCTCCAACAGACCCTGGCACTGCCCAGCTGCAGCCCAGCATGGCTCTGCCGCGGGCACAGGCGAAGCCTTGCCCATGCTCCAGCACAGTCAAACACGTGCCAGCCCTGAACGCAGCCGCGGGCAGAGCTTGCATCGCCTCCCTTGCGAGAGGGCACAGTCGTACATTTAAATAAACAAACAAAAAAACCCCACAAAACAAGCAAACCACAAAATACCCCGAGAACCAAATCCACAAAACACTTTCTGGGCCAAAAATCCGAAGGCCACCTCCATCAGGGTGCTCGGGGCAGCAAAACAGGAATGCGGGGCAGAGGCGGCGCGGGCGGGCGCGGTACCTTCTGCTGGAGGGCTCGCTCCAGGGACTCCACCTTCATCTGCTCCTTGCGCAGCCCCGCGTGCAGCGCCGTGCTCTCCGCCTTGGCCTTCGTGCGCACCTGGGCGATCTCCTCGTTGGCTCTGCGGGGGTTGGAGACAAGGGGCTGGCGGTGACATCTGGGGGGCAGGAGCCCCGCGGCACGACGCCAGCCCAGCAGCATCGGCAGGGCCCGGCTCCGTCCGCCTGGAGGCAGCAGGGGTGGGCTTCCCATATGGAAAACCTGCACGGAACTGGATTAATTCAGCTCCTCCAAATCCCTGTATGGAATCTCTGCTCTCAGAGCGAAGCTAAACCAGTTCCTCACCTACTTCACTCAAGGCTACCAGGTGTGAGCGAGCTACGGCTCATCCGTGGGGCCTCGGTAGCTCCACGATCCCTCCACATGCCACAGGCATGAGCCCTCCGAAATGCGGGGCTTGTGGAGTGACTGTAAATAGACTGTGAGGTCAGCTTCCCCACTGAAAACAACTAAGCAGAGATCAGAGAAGCCCTTCAGGGGGTTGTGCTGGCTTACTTACAGCCATTTAGTCACTTGTGCCCAAGGCTTTAGAAAGCAGCTTTTCACATCCGTGAGCTCCTGCCTTCCAACCTCAGGAAAGCCAAGAGCAGACACTGCCCTACAAGGGCTTTAAGCACCCAGCAATGTCGTGCATGACCTTACTTGTCTAATTTTTCTTCCGCATGGACTTTCAGGGCCTGATACCGCTGCTCTTCTTGCTTGACCCGGGTTAAATAATCTTGAGCACACTTCTTCAGAGCTTCTTCATTCTGAAAAAAAAAATAAAAATACATCCATCTGCATGGAGACTGGGGACAGAGATGTTGCTCTGATGGGATGATGTATTCTCTTCTGAGTGTAACAGAAAAAGGCTTTAAATAGACACAGCTTCTCCCTTATGCTGGAGCCCCTTATCCAGCTTGGCAGCATGGAAAAACGGTGCCTAGATGGAGGCAGGGATTTTTGGGGTGCTTTGCCCTGGCATCTCCTCTTCCCTTGGCACTGCCCAGGGCTTGATGCTCCGCGGCCGGTGGCTGGGCAGGAGCACACCAGGGAGGAGCGCGGAGAGGAGCCGGAGAACCCCACAGCAGCTCCCCGGGGAGCCCGAGAGACTCTGCTCATGCATGGGAGAGTGGGCAGAGGGAGGCAGCGGGTTGTCCTCTGGGCAGGGGCCGGGGGGTCTGAGGCAGCACAGCGGGATGGGAGAGCTGGGGGGGGACAGTGCTGCATGGGAACTCTGCGTCCAGGGACCAGGGGGACAGAGGAAACCAAGGCAAGGACCTTCTTAAAGCCTTCCAGGACGCCCTTCAGGTTCTCGTATCTCCTGAAGAGATCCGACAGGGACCTCTCCACCGAGTTCAGGTCTGCCAGAGCCTGGTCCTTTTCCATCGTGAGCTGCTGCAGGTTCTTCTGGGACGTCATGTTTGTCCTCTGCTCATCCTCTGTGATGGAGAAGGAGCAGCAGGGACACGGTGACTGAGCGGGGACGGCCGCGGCAGCCGGGTCCCTGCCCCAGCCTGGCGACGGCACCTTACCTATCATCTGGGCAATGGTCTTCTCATACTCAGCCACGATTTTCCTAGAAGGGAGAAAAAAAAGCAGATGAGAGGCAGCATTTTTTTGCAGACACACACCTACAGCTCTGTGGCCAGTGAACTGCCCCCAAGGCAGCCCCAGCAGCAGCCTGCCTGCGCTAGATACACTCCATTACAGCCCCGCTAACCCGCGGGGAGCACGGCGCTGCATGGGACCGAGCATGCAAGGAGGCGGCTTTTACCTCATCTCCAAGACCTCCTGGCGGCTCTCTTCATACTTCTTCTTCCACTCGTTTGCTTCAATCTCCTTGGTGATTATCTAGGTTGCAGCAAAAACGGGGCCCTTGGGACACGCTCTGGGTGGTTTCCCAGGCTGCCCCACGCCTGCGAGGCGCAGGGGACCAGACCCCCCCACCCCGGGCAGCGCGGAGCTGTGCCCGCTGCCCCCGCAGCAGCTTGGGGTGCCCCGGCCGTTACCTCCTCCCTGATGAGCGTGAGCACAGCCGTCTTCTCGGATTCACTCAGGCAGATGCTGTCCAGGGGATTCTCGCTCCTGCTCATGCTGGTGACAGCCGTGGGGCACTTGTCCATGGAGCACAGCCCGGGGTTGCCCTGAGGGGAATCATCCAGCCAGGATGCTGCGTGGCTTTTCTTTTCACCTGCTTCCCCTGCTTGGGGTGTTCTCCCCCATTTTATCAGCCTCTGTTCGGGCACTGAACCTCCCTACCTGCACACTGACAGCTCAGAGCCCGGTGCCAGGCACCCGGCAGAGCCCATATGAGGGATTTTTCATGTACTTTCTGCCCAGTCCCTTGCCAGGAGCTGGGGCTGCACCGTGGGCTTGGCACCGCAACGGAGAGACCCAGCAAGGGCCCATCTCGGAAGAGAGACCCAGCTCCGAGCAGAGACGTGCTCACGTCTGACATCACTTTCCCCCATGGCTGCTTTAAAAATATCTCCAGCCTGGAGGTTCTTTGCTGACTGTGAGGCACAGGCGGGGGGTCAGCGAGGGTCTGTCCCCGTCACCTCCCGGTCAGGCAGAGACGTCCCTGACGCATCCGAAGTGCTGCCGGGATGTTTGCGGGGCCTTGCTGATCGCCCCGAATGCACGGGGGAGCTGGTGGGGGGACGAGGCTTCACCCCCCTGCAGAGCCCCCAGGCTGCTCCCATTCCCCTCCCATCCCATGGTGCCCCAGCTGGCGGGAGAGCCCCGAAATCAGAGAAGCTCATGCAGATGCTCCCGGCACCTCCTGTTTCCATGACGGGAGCTACTATGAGGGCCGAGGGGGTTGCACCCCCATGGCTCACTGCTTTGCCCCCCCAAGACCCTCCTCTGCACCAGTGCTGCAGGCACAGGGACCAAACTGGGGGGAGAGCTCAGCGCCGTGACCCAGGCACCCAGCCCTGCCTGGATGCCAGCCCCAACCCTTCCCTCGGGGGGGTCCTGCAGCCTGAAAGGCCTCCAGAAAAGCCAACCGAGTTTTACACCACGGTGCGTTCCTCCCCTCATTGCCCCAGCCGAGCGGCAGCCCTGCGCAGCCGTCTCCTTGGGAACCAGCTGCCAGGCCATAAATAGAGAAGTGGTTCGGAGGAGGCAGTCTGCTTCTGCCGTGTTTTGGAAACGAGAGCACGAAAGCGCTTCTCGCCCTCCCCTGCGCCCCGACTGCTGCTCAGGCCCCAGCACCGCCGGGACCCTGCGGGGGCTCGCGGGCAAGCGACGGCCAGTGGCCGGAGCCACCCCCGGGGGCAGGTTCGGGTCTGGGCAGCCCAACCCCGGGGGTTCAGCCCCCAGCTGCCCCAAACAGCACCTCAGCGCCTGCGAAGCCTCTGCCCACTGCCCGTCCCACCAAAAACCCGCGCGGGGGCTCGGGATGACCCGGCCGGGTGGGAGGGCCGAGCCTGCCCGCGCTCCCCACACAAAGGCTCACTTTGCCTCATGCCCTTGCGGGGTTTAGCGCAGTTAAAGCTGTCTCAGAGACACTGATTTTGCTGACGTTGCTAATCTCGCTGTCACCTGCTGCCACCCCCGGCAGCTTTGCCCAGGGGCGACGAAACGGCTGCAGGGTCCCCCCTGCAGCCGAGGGGCCACTCCAAAGGCTCCGTGGGGCACATCGGGGGTGTCCCCGGGCAGATGTGCCACTGCCGGGTGCCAGGGTCACCGGTGGCCGCAGAGCCAGGGCTTTTATCACTGATCCCCTCATCTCTCTGTCCGGCGCCTCCCGACAGCAGTGTGTGGGGATCCCTCGGAGCCAGCCCTGGACTCCTGCGCCCCAGTCACAGCCCCCGCCCGCGGCTCGGCCCTCCCCGTCATCTCCTCTGCCCTTCCTCTGCCCTTCAGGCTCTTCCAAGGGCAGCGTTATCTCTCGCTGCCCCCCCCAGCCACAGCCCCGCTCCCTCCCACCCACTGCAGCAGCACCCGGGCGAAGGAGCCAGGATCTGCCGGGCTCCTCCAGACCTGCCAGGAAAATGACACTGTTTTATCAAGTCCCCGCAGGGCCCTTTCAAGGATTTTACCTCCCAAAGAAACTAATTTCAGAGAGTTTATGGTAGCACATCTGGGACGAGAGCGATGTTTGCTGCAGCTTCCTCCCAGCACTCTGCACCATGGGGCAGGCAGGAGCATCGGCCAGTGCCGCACCAGTACCAGTACAGCCACCCCAGTGC